ATATTTATTTATGTAATTATCTAATTTTTATATTGTTAGTATTTTTGCCTCTTCTGTTTACACAAGTTGTTTTGCTGTCTGTTAGCCCTATCACGATGTCACCTGATTAAATCGATTTGAGCATCGAACGAACATGCTAAATCTGTTCAAACCGTCCCATCCGTCCTCATTTTTTGCCTTCACCAGTTTACTGTTGCATTTATCAGTCCTGTAGTTGTAATTGCCTGTTATGAACTACCGAAAAGAGATCTCTTTGCAACGCTGAATTTCAGGTTAGTAGAATATAATGCTTTACCGGTGTAAAGCAGAAGCAGATGTCGTATTCGGTACCGACTCACATCCGTCACGTCGCCGGATAGGAAACAAAACGAATGGTTATCAGTAGGGGATTATGATGTAACTAACTAGGAGTTCATTACAGCGGTTTTCGTAGTGCCTTGGATTAAAGTGTAAGATTGCCACAGGCCTAAAGAAGTGCGCAGTCTGTCAAAAGAAGAACCCCTCCAACATTGAATAGATGTTGTAATCCGTAGATTTCGAAAAATTTCAAAGCGGAAATGCCGTAAAACGTTGGAGTGGCGTATCTATTTGGTCATGTCCTCAGGCCCTTTTAACGCAGCAGAGCTCTTGATGAACCAGGTGTTCGCGATTGATCACCAACCGCCTGCATAGGTGGAGCGTCAAGTGAAAGAACTGCGCAATATACATTACAAAATCTGAAAGCCTTAGCCGAAGACAGCAAGTCAATTGTCTGCACACGGACGCGCAGCCTAAGTAGATGGTTTGCGAAGCAGTTTAATCATGACCATCCGTTCTCTATCATAACAAGCGATTTAGATCGGGTAATCTTCGGCCGGGGTGATCGTAATCACTATGTGATAGTTTGTGCGCTTGAGTTGGCAATTAAATCCTGGCGCGTATGCATGCCTGTGGTGACTCATGTTTGTCGCCTGATTGCGAGGATTGCATGTGACTGTCAGGCTCTACACTGTCCCACTATGTCCGACATCCGGTTCACCATGTCGTCGTGCTATAGTATCCATAATCTCCTCATCCGTTTGTGGCGGTATGTGACTGCTACCGAGTATATGTAACCGTCTCGGACTGGCTGAAGTGACTACGCTGCTCAACTACTGTGTTAATTCAGTACTTAATTGATTTCTATCTTCTGTAGTCCTGTTGCAACTGAATTTCTCAATAACTGATTCTGCCTACAATGCTTTGACTTATCCCAGTTGCGCGGTATCAGTTCGATACACTAAGAATACTACACACTAGTCTGGTCTGCTGCAAAGCTGTGTCTGGCCTTAAAATCTGCTAAGTGCTAGCAACAGACGGAATTGAGGAAGTTCTCGGAGACCATCAATGTAAATCGGCGTCAAGTCGTGCATCGGCATGGTGCCACAACCAGTATGACGACGCATCATCACAATCCCATCAACTTTGATGAACGGTATCAATTATAATGGATCCGAGGCCGAAAAAATAAAAAATCAATGATACAATCTGTTGGTTAAATATTGAATAACACGAGTGACTCGCCATGTTTGTAAAAGATCTGGACGCTCCTGATGTAATGCCGTAGGACGAAGTAGTGAAAGACCGAGCGGAAAAGCAATCCGATAGACAAGTCAGTCAATTAGAAGTGCTGTAATGTCGGTGAGTAACAGTGTATTAAGCGTCCGACTTGTAATCCACAGGTCGCAGATTCCAGCCCGCGTATTTGCGGGAGATCTCGCAGTATCCTTAGACCGTATGCGACTGATGGTAGTCGTTTGACAGTGAAGCGTCAGCAAGTGGTACCGGAGAACTACTGATTAATTTCGATGCTGAGTGCATTGCCTTAAAACTTGGACAAATGAAAGTAGATGAAAGGTAAACCTTACGGTTCCAGTAGTTATAGCATCGAAATGGAGATATTGCTAGCGAAAATGATATCCCGTAACCCAAAATGAGTCACACATAATTGCGTTCGTACTTTTAAATGGAGGGTTAGTAGTTAAATAGGAAAGAGGAAGCTGAAGTAAAAGGGAAGAAAAGGATGTGTGTAATCCCGATGAGGTAACTTGATAAGTAGCTAAAGATCACACAACTCACTTGAACAAAGAAGGAATGACACTGCAGGGAGGAGGGCCAAGTCACTTGTCTGAGCAATGATCGTAGATAAACTAACCATTGACGAAGCTCCACAACTCTAGGATATGTCTTTGCAAAAGAAATATAAGGTTCTGGGTATCGTATTCCGCGTGGACATTGCATGGAGTTCTGACGTAGAAGAAAACGACCCACCTACCGACAGACGGATTTCATTACAAAGCTCAAAACATTCGCTTTTGACAGCAAAAAATTCCGCGGTAAGCAAAGCATGATCAGGAAGCGTCATAAGCAACGGTTCAGAAACAAATTCAGCTGGAAATGGAAAAAGATGTGATGGAGAGAGACCAATGGTGAAAATGAAGATTATAACCCACTAAAGACAGTTATGTGACTATTCAGTAAAAAAAATGCGAAAAGTGCCTGCAGAAACTTGATGCCAGATACGTTCATCGAAACATTGCATCGGGTCCATTATATCTAAAATGACGTGGATCGAGCCACCTGAAGCCTGCAGATAAAGAATAGAACAAAATCAAAACGGCCCGATAGAGCTAATGGCATAAATCGTCAATGATTGTAGACATCAGAAAAATCGGATGTTGACCTTCAGTCTATTGTAGGATGGATCGTTCATGAAAAGTGAAAAAATAAGGGTATTGGACAAACTCTATGAAAATGTCCATGTGTTACCGCGATGTGCTCGGGGAATTATTGACCACCGAATAACGCCCGACAAGTCTAATTCATTGGATTAGTTGAATAAGACTCATTTCTGCAGAAACGCCGTAATTGGCTGCGTCGTTAGTGAGTAGCTTCCAGTTAACATCTGTAACGTTGAACAATGGCGCAGAAAGCTTTGGCACAACAACGATGTCTCCGAGCGTTAATACCTTTTTGCAGCCGTTTGTTCATCCCAACCAGACCGAGACTGACAAGAACAGCCTCAGTTTGCTCATATGAAAGTTCTGAGTCACTTGGTCCTTCCACTAGATTCGTCGTTCATCTGGACATCAGCGGTGAAAAATGCCAAACGTGCGTGGACGATACAGTAGGATAGAGACAAGCTTAAACGTACGCTTTGCAGCTTTAATGTGTAAAGTAATGTTGCAGGAGTGGGCCGACTAACATCAGCTCTCACTATCATTGAAAAACCGCTCAAATAAGTCAATCAGTTTACTCATCTAGGTAGACGTCATCTCCGGCGGTTGTACCATCGAATGAGTTGTCGCACGTATTCCTAAGATCGGTATTAGGTAAATGAAAGAGTTTATAACACGGCGACCAAGGTCAATGTGTACACAAAACACCTGAGTATTGCGCATCGATGGTATTAAGAGACTTGTGTAGTATTGATTGTTTGGTTGGAGCATAGAATGAACACTGCTGAACCACATCATTCGACGTCCGACAACGGACCAGCTGGCGATATACTTACCTGTCAGTAAAGTGGAACTGTATAAGCCGGTTAAGCAGTGTCTTTCACATGCCCGTTGACCAGTTGTTCCGTGGTGTTATGCCCATTTGAATGCAACCTCGAGGTGGCCAATCAGTGGTGTCGTAACAGAATGCGAAAGAGACCCTTAGAAAGTATATTGCGAGTGTTTTTAAGTGCCATCTTGGATGGGCACACAAAATTATGCCTCACCAGTTGTTTTTTGATGCTTTATCGGATATGAAGCAGTTTTATTAGATCAGTGGAGACGTTGCACCCGTCTCTTTTTGATTCTGATTTTTAGCCATTACATTCGAGCATTTATGCCTCATTATGCCTCACTATGCTTTATCTGCATAGTACATGCAGTACGAATGACCGAACTGAGCAAGCTCATCTCAAAGTGAATCGCGATCCCAACTGAGAAGATTAAGTACTTCAATCCTTTTTCAAGCAGTGAATGATTCGAAATGATCCCCACTATTATTGTCATTTTGGCAACATTAGTCGATCCACTGCACTACAGAGCATGATCGATGAACGGCAGTCAGATTGAGGAAAATCAGTCGCCGTGCAAGCCGATGACACGTTTCCCCCCGTTGACTGCGTCCAACTTGATTCAGGTATGCTATTTATTCTTGAGTAATCCTGTCAACATGGATGCAACTTGGATCATGAGTTACAGTTTGCGCGCCAAACAGCACCAGACATGGAAAATCTTTACAGTATGCTTAGCGCCCAGGTCCGTAAAGACAGACTGTATTTAACAGCAAGTAGAAAAGTTTCTATACAACTCTATCGAATTCTGGAAAATCAAAAACACTTAAGTGCAATTCGTCAGTGGTAGTGTTTGGTCAATTAATCGTTTATCCTTGTCGATTAGGAATTCGTATTGATGTCATTATTTCCGGGTATATTAAGTATATTTTGCATTGTATGTGCACCGGTTCACAAAAGCACAGGTTTGCGAAATCATCGTCGATACGTGATTTAAAACACTTCACAGAATCGGCCATTACTAGTCCTTCTGGTAGTGTATTCCATGAGTTTACGATTCTTCGTTCTATACAAAGCTTATGTGATACTTTGTTCATGCAACGAACCCTGAGTTTGTAACGGTGTTCTTGGGTATCACAGGGTTCCCGCGGAAGAAATATTGGCCGCAGTATGGAGAAGTCATTCAAGTATGATATTTAATGGGTCATAATAAGGTCAATTCTTACTCAACGGTAGGATAGTGTGCAGAGATTCGTAGATTTGGTATCATATTAGTTGCGATATGTTGTATTTCCTCCACCTTTTCAGTTTCCCACTAGGTTATCGGATGGTAAGCTGGGGCACCGTATTCAACGATTGGTCTAATGAGCGAGGTGAATAGGCGAGGGACGGTTTCTTCGGACCATGTGGAGAAACTGCGTCTTAATGCCCAGAGCATACGAAGTGCCGCACGGTACTATTTCTCCGTATTTTCTAGTGATCTCATAGCATGTCGCGAGAGCACTCCTAAGTCTCTGACAGATGTGGTAGGGTGGAGCAATTGACCGTCCAAGGTGCATGATCGAGTGGCTGGACGTCTGGTGATACTGATGAACTCCGACTTGCTTGCTTTAAGAGGGAGTTGCATTTCAGTGAACCATGTTGACAGTCGCTCTAAGTCATGCTGGAGGCGAGCGCAGTCGTCCTGGTTCTCAATGATCCTGCAGATTTTCAAATCATCTACAAATAGGGCCCATGGTGACTGGAGCTGCTGCGGAAGATCGTTGATATAAGAAATAACGATGGCACGTCAATGGTCGATGGGAACCAGTCTGTCAGGTAGTCATTGAGTTGTACTCTAAACTGTTGTCCCACAATAGACACGTGTAACCACTGAAGTAGCGTGTCACACAGCAAACGCCTTACTAAAGTCGATGTACACCACGTCAATCTGCGTTCGTTGAGAACTCGTACGCAATGGTGGTTTGCGTACATCAGTTTGGTGATGCAGGATCGCCCTTTCGCAAAGCCGTGTTGCGCTGGCGTCAATACGTCCCTCGATTCGAAGAACGACAGCAGACACTTTTTCACAACCTTCTAGAGAAACTGGGATAATATCGAAGTCAAACAGATCGGTCTATAATTCTCTACTTTACTCGGATCACCACAATTCGGAAGCGGTCTCACTATCAAGCATTTCCAGTCGTTGGGGACAGATCCTTCAGAGAGTGATTTATTGAATAGGTTTGTCACGGCTAGTGAGATGACATTCGATAGAGACTTGAGTATTAGTGGGTGAAGTCCGTCTGGTCCGAGGGGCTTTGCACCATCGAGGTTGACTAGTAGCTGATATATTTCGATTGGATCAAATTGTAGGTTGTAGAGCAAGACTGGCGCAACCTGTGCCGATACTGGAACAGCCGCCGGTTTACTGGAAAATACGGTGAGGAAGTGCGTAGCCAAGGCGTCTGCGCTTGAAATGAGCCTCTGTTCCTCCAAGCTCTCCAAGACCGGTAGGTCGTCCCTAGGTTTCAATTGACGTTTTAAGTAAGCAAATATTCTTTTGGGTGCAGTTGTGGCAGAGCATGCTAGTTTCCCTTCGAATTACCGGCGTTTCTTAATATTTGCGGTGTTACATAAGTTAAGGTGTTTCTGGTACATTGTGTAATCTTCACCACAACCCGAGCTGATGTATCAATCCCAAAGTTTGCGACGCCGTCGCGCTAACTGTCTATATTCCATAACAAACCAATGCGGTTTGACAGGGCAGAAGTCGAATACTTCAGGGGAACGAACCGAGTACACAGCGAATTAAGCTTCCCCTTCATTAATGACCAACAGGCCTCAAGCGACGCATCCTGCGGTAGTGTCCAATCAGCCTGACTTGCGGCTTCTGGAGCACGTTGAAGTCCGTCTTCCAATAGTTGAATGTCAGCTTTCGTTGGTTGTAATACGCTAACGGCAATTCTATGCTTGCCACAATGGAGCAGTGGTCACTGTTCCCTAGAGGTTCGAGGAATCTGACCTCTTGCAGATTCTGCTCGCAGCTCGTTGCCCCGATTCCAATAGACATTTTAGCGAATTGAGCCTCAACGTCGCCATGACAGGGAAGAAACCGAAAGTCTGGCCAGAATATCAGAGGTAAATTTAGGCCCACCGTCAGTGAGAATTGAGGACGACTCATGTGCTTCTGTATATGTGGTAGCCAATCGCAACAACGATTTAGTGGGTTACGCTAGATAACACCCACTATTAGTTCTGCGCGCCTGAGGCAGATTGTGCACCACAATTGCTCGCATAAAGTATCCTCGCTCCGATAGGTGATGGTAAGTTTTCCACATAGTGACGATTTTATGTACAACAGAACACCACAGTGAGCCTTTGATTTTCGGTCGCATCGGAAACAAGAGTATCCTGACAACGTGACGTCTTGGGGTAGAACGTCGGAGTTCAGCCAAGTCTCTGCAAGTCTTAAAACGTCTGGCTGCTCCGAGACAGCGAAGCGGAATAGTTCGTCACGTTTATTCATTAGGCTGCACAAGTCAGCGAATGCCACAAGGAGGTCCTGGGAGGTACCGCGGGACGTGCCTGGAGGTTGAGCGACCGGTTGTTATTGGTTCGTACACCCTACTTAATCATCCGGAAATTTACAATTTTAAGTCAGTCTCACCTTATTCTATACGGCGTTTGAGCCCAATGACCGCAGTCTTCGAACGATCCCTGTCTTCGGGTTCCAAGTATCGGCGGATGTGAAAATTTATGCCTTTCAGCTTTGACAGAATGAGCTGCAAATGTGATTCTCGGAGGTCGACATGATTGGTTAGTTTTCTTGCCAAGTCGGATTACTTGTTTAATCGTCACACTGTCTTCCCACCCATCCAAGAGGCTATCGATGAGCCCCTGAA